ATATCTCACTACTTAGCATAGAACTGCCCTACAAGTATGACAGACACATATCACGGAGGCACATGCAGTTATTTTTACCTTGGCATGATTATAAATATCCACGCAGTTTTCTGTATTGATGCTTTTTGCACAAATGATCTCACAGTGTCGTTGTAAAGCTTCAAGCTGGAAAAATTTAGCAGCAGAGAGAAGCTAAAAAACAAAACCAAAATAAACAAAAGGCAAGGAAAAAATAGTCAAAACTGCTGAGCAGTATAGAATCAGAGCTTGATTCTTTACTGGTCCATTAGGGTTTGTTTTTTTTCTGTCCCTGCTTCTGTTAGTATGAAAGTATTGACAAAAAGTCAGATTGAGAAGGTTGCTTGGTTGCTTCAACCCCTTGCAGTCCCCTCTAGATCACATTATGGGGAGCTGCACATGCAGAGACCACCACAGGCTGCTCAGATCTATATGCTGACTTTGGAATGGGGTGAGGAGGAGGTGTGTGTGTGAGAGAAAAAGGAAACAGCAGCTTGGAGAATCTTTGGTCACTATGGAGAAATGAGTTTGCAAGGAGGGACCTGCAATTACATTCCCCCAAAAGAGGTTCTGGTTCAACCATTCCTCAACCTGTGGCTGAAAGAGAGCCTGGGCTGGATGTGGGCATGTCAGCAGAAGGGGCAGGGCCAAGACTATAGAGTAATTCAAACCAGATGATGATGGAGACCTCAAAGCAACTTTTCAATATCTGAAGGGCCTACAGAGGAGCTGGAGAGGGACTCTGTGTTAGGAACTGCAATGACAGGACAAGGGGTAATGGCTTCAGACTGAAGGAGGGAAAGCCTAGGTTGGATGTGAGAAAAAAAGATTTTCCTGTGAGGGTGGTGAGCCAAGGACATGGTGGCTGCCCCGACTCTAGCAGTGTTCAAGGCCAGGCTGGATGAGGCCTTGAGCAACCTGATCTAGTGAGGAGGTGTCCCTGCCCAGGGCAGGGGGTTGGGACTAAATGATCTGTAAGGTCCATTCCAACCCTTAAATTCTAGGATTCTATGACCATCCTGGGCAGTCTTAGAAATCTAGAGGCAATAAACCTCAAATCTGTCACCTCAGCATGCTCAAAGAAATGGAATCACATCTCCATATGGTTCCTGTTCTGTCTAGGCTACAGGCACGGAAACACTTTCTGGCTCCATGTTAGTCCAAGAAGTGGGTGAACAGGAGGATACAATGCAAAGGTAAGAGGCATAGTTAACATTCATGTTAGTGTCATGTGTCTGTGCCACTGCTCTACCATGGGTCTCCTGCCACCCCAGAACTTCAGCTGACCTTCCTCTTTGGTCCTGCATCCACCCTATGGCTATACTACCTGCACTGGCACTGCATTGGGATCTCTGCATGCCTCTGGGGTGAAAATGCCTTAAGTTTTGAGTTCCCCAACTGATTTCAGTAGCGCTAAGATTTCTTCTAGTACCCCCATTCTGTCCTTTTACAGCCGGGAAAAGGCATTTTATTTTCTGGCTTTCCATGGTAGGTCATTGTCTCTGGCTTAGGAAGCAGGCTGGGGTTCTTCCCTGCTTGATACCTTGTTCTAACACAGCCAGAACTTAGGCCAAGCTGCTCAGGTCTTTAAATAGCATGTATTCAGGCCTTTATACAGCCCTTATTATCTAGGACTGCAGGACAAAAAGCTATAAAGGGGCTCTCATGCTGCTACGTGGGGGCACTGGGGAAGAAACAAAAACCCCTGAAAGTTCCATGACATTATTGTGACTTCTCCTATGCAGTCTGCTCCAGCTCTGCTTTAATCCCATAAATAAATCCAAGTGCTGTAAATCTGCAGTGCTGATGTGATAGCAGCCAGCTGGCCCCAATTATGAATTGCAGCAAAGATTTCTGTGGAGTATTTCTGGTGCTTCTTGTTATCATATTTGTTGTAATAAGGCAAGTTGCTAAATACAGTTTTGAAAGATAAAGCAAAAGCCTATTCCAGCTGCCTCTGTGGCTCAAGCAGTCATGTGCTGGTTGGTAATTACTTTAAACTGTGTGGAACCGTGGCCAGATCTGTTATCAACAGATCAGTCAATCAGTCATACTTTCTTGAGTCACAGAAGTTTGGAGACGTCACAAAAGTAGAGCAAGCCTCCAGCTGAAACGCAGCACAAGCTTTTTAACAGCCTAGGTGATAACACACACATCTCTATAAAGTCCCTGCACTGCCTGGTCTAAGACTCCTTATTCCAGAAAAGGTTAGGAATTCAGAAGTTCCTTCAAAACTACGAGTGAAATAGAGAATTAGTGACCTTTTCCTATACAGCTCAGAGAGTTGATGTAGGTATGCTTAGTTAAAAATCCACTGCCTGCACTGGAGAGGCATAATTTCAGTGCTGACCAGTTCCATCCTCTGGCTGCAGGACAGAAGTGTCATAGGGACAGTCTAATACAGGAACAATAAAACAGAGATAGGACATGCATGAATGGAATGAAGCTGCAGCAGAGGAAGTGCAGACTGGACATTAGGAAAAAGTTCTCTGCTGAGAGGGTGGTCAGTCACTGAACAGGCTCCCCAGGGAAGGAGTCATGGCACCAAACCTGCCATGGAGCACAGAGTTGGACTTGATGATCCATCCCTGTTCACCGTCCCTGGAGGTTTTCAAGATGAGACTGGATGTGGCACTTAGTGCCATGGTTTAGTAACCATGGTAGGATTGGATTTGATGATCGCAGAGGTCTTTTCCAACCTGTCTGATTCTATGATTCTATGATCCTTATGGGTCCCTTTCAACTTGAGGTATTCCATGACTCTAATGATCATGGTGGCAGACAGTACACTGATGATTACCAGCTCTGATTTGACTGTTTACTGACCTGGATTCTTTATGGTTGACATCATTTGGTGATTGTCAACAGAAAAACACCCTGAAGGACTATTAAGAATTTGCTCAAATATCTCTTACTTCTATAGTGCTGGAGTGGTTTGGCCGATCATAGCTGACAATGATGGCTCACACAGGCTGTGGTTGTGTGGCTGCACTGGAAGTTCAGTCAGCTCCAGTTGGCTTGGTTTGGCTTTCACAAAAGGCCACAATTGCACCTGGATGTTTTACATCCAGTGAGAAAGGGACAAAGAGGTCTCTGTATCTTAGGGAGCAGACCATAGTTTTATTCAGAAAATGTAATGGTCACATGCTTGAAATTGAACTGAACTGTGACTCTGGTGGGATTTTTCTTCTGGTTAAAGCCAGCTACATGCCCAAGAATTTTCCCACATAAGTAACCAAACCAGATGTTTTTAATGCTACTGAGATAGGTCTGAATATATAAGCCTGGGCTAATAAACCAAAAATCAGAGTGTGGCAGAGGGAATCTGGGCCAGCTGGAGCAGAGCACCTCATCTCTCAGGCTGAGAGAGAAGAGATGGAACACTATGCTGCCAGGAATCGCTTCCAGATTTTGGTAACACGAGCTTTGTCTCTAACCAGGTATTTTTATTTCAGATACTTTTTCGCTTGATGATCCTAATTTTTCTAACTCTTTCTTCTTTTGACAGTCAACTTCGTACTGGCAAAAGTTATCCTAATGGGCAACCAGCAAAGAAAGAGACTGTCTCCCACAGGACTGCAGACAGCTTGGGCACTCCGGGTGAGGCACTGCTGGCTCTCACAGGAGTACTCGTGTCTTGCCCAATGGCCATGTGCCCTTGGGTGAACACATGGATCACTTAGCATTGCTCCCACTGCAATTAAGATAAATGTCTCTTACCTCCATAATTTCATTATTTTTAATCAGGAGTGACTCTGCACCTCCATAATACAGATACTGCATAACCAGCTGCAATAAAACAACGGGAGCGTTAATAAAAAGCAATCCAAGGCGTCAGGGGGTGATGTAAAGATTGCAGGCAATACCAATGCTCTCACCCAATACAAGGCTCTCCAAATACTACCATGGATTTGGAGATAAAACTGGCTCAAACCTCCTGATTTCAAGGTATATTTGGTTACTCTCTCTCTCTGCAAAGTTCAACACTTCCTTCTCACAGGCAGCCTAATGCCTCAACCCTCACCCTTACCTTGTCTGGACTGTCTGATAAGCTCCAAACAGTTTGCAGGAAACCGATTCATTAATTCTGACTTTTCTGTGTGTTTCCCAGTATGTTAAGTACATCACCGATTCAGGCAAATACAGCATATATAATGGTTACTCCTCTATTCCTTCCCTGGCAGTGGCACCCCCACCTTCACCCAGCTGTGTGTGGGCAGGCATGGATGATGAAAAAGAGTGGAGGCGGCTTTGCACTGCAATACAAGCTAGGTAAGATCCCTCTGCAGGGAGCTTCAGGTTATTGTAAGCAGCTGTAAGAGCTGATAGATGGAACTGTCTGAGCTCTGACTCAAAGGGAAGGATACCCATGTATGTATATGCTACAGGTATAGAAAGCAAGCTGTGTTTTCATGGCAAAAAACTGATTGGAGAATCCTGCTTAGGCAGGGAATGAACCGTGTCTGGAAAGGAAAGAGCCAACTTGACAAAAAAGCATCATATCCTTTACCTTGCCATGCACTGCTCTGCCTGCATAGCCCATGTGAGGGAAACACATTCTACTGTATCTGCTCAGGCACCACATCTGCAATCAACAGCACTCTGCAGCTTAGTGTATGAGTGGAGATGAAGCCTGTGCTTGTGAAAATACTATGTTTATCCAATTCATAGGAAAGAGCCAACTTGACAAAAAAGCATCATATCCTTTACCTTGCCATGCACTGCTCTGCCTGCATAGCCCATGTGAGGGAAACACATTCTACTGTATCTGCTCAGGCACCACATCTGCAATCAACAGCACTCTGCAGCTTAGTGTATGAGTGGAGATGAAGCCTGTGCTTGTGAAAATACTATGTTTATCCAATTCATAGGTGCTAAGTTGGACAGGGCACCTCCAATGTTCCTCTTACAAGCCCCATTCAAGTTCAGTGTGAGAACTGGCTTTTACCTGAAAGATGGGGTACTTCACGTAGTTGATCTCAATGCAAGTACTATCAGATGAGGGTTTGCTAGACAGCAATGCTTTAAACCTAAATCAAAAGGAGCAAAATTGAAAGACCAGCCTGATTATCTCTGTGAAAATGGTACAGCAACACCAGTACTAAAGTGCAGTGGAAGGACAGCATCGACTCTTGCAAAAACAGTACATAAAAGCAACAAGATTTAGACACTGATATGAAGTTCACAGCAAAAGGAAGAAGCCTCTCTCTAGGAGATTTCAATTTGGAATTTTGGACAAATACATCTAATATCACAACAGAATAAAATATACATCGGAAATTCAGATTCTGTAATGAATTACAAAGCCAAAATGATTTTATCTTTTATCTTGGAGGCAACATGATCCTTGCAACTTTTCAAACCTGCATGTTCCTTTTCCAAAGGAGATAAAAGTTTGGCCAATGTCCATTATGCTGTTATAAAAAATGTTTTGGAGCAACATAGTAAAATAACTAGACTAAGGCTTTTAGTACTACTATATAGGCTCAATACAACTGTGTATAAAGAGGCAGGAGAGAAAACTGGATAGGTTGCTGTTCTCTGATTATCAAAACCTGAAATTCAGACACAAGTTTTAGGAAAAGAAGACACATTTTAAGTTAATATTTGCAGATTTATGAGATGTATACATATGTAACAAACTACTTCTCAAACCCAGATATTCCCATTGATCAGAAGGTGAAAATGGAAAATGTGCTGCCACAAACATCTTCCCTTGTCCTTTCTCTCTTTGGTAATTCATCTGAGCTTACAGTGGCAGTTCAAAGCTTGGCTTATCTATCAAGACCAGCCCTGGCTGCATGGTAACCTTCTCCATATCATGACTGCATCTTCTTAATTAAAATGTGGGTAGCAATTCATTTGCTTTCACTAGTGTCAAGCTCTATTACGAACACAGTTTAGCAGACTGAAAGCTGGAGTTTGGAATACATTTGTATGTCTACCAAGAAGCTCTAAACCAAAATACCCATTTCTTCATTGAAGGCAGGATCAGATGCTGCAGTTGCTTTGTGCAAATCTCTTTACTCTGTGCTGTGGGTTGGCAGCACAACTAGCATCCCACATTGCTCAAATTATCCAAACTCAGTGGCTTGTCCTTGCCACACCTTGAAATAAGCAACTTTTCAATATCTGAAGGGCCTACAAGGAGAGGGACTCTGTGTTAGGAACTGCAATGATAGGACAAGGGGTAATGGTTTCAAATTGAGGGAGGGAAAGTTTAGGTTAAATATTAGAAAAAAGTTTCTTCCTGTAAGGGTAGAGAGACACTGCCACAGGCTGCCCAGGGACATGGTGGCTGCCCCAACCCTGGCAGTGTTCAAGGTCAGGCTGGATGAGGCCTTGAGCAACCTGATCTAGTGAGGAGGTGTCCCTGCCCAGGGCAGGGGGTTGGGACTAGATGATCTGTAAGGTCCATTCCAACCCTTAAATTCTATGATTCTATGATTTATGTAGGACCAGCTAAATTTGTTTAAGAGCACACCTTTAATTAATTACACAGCTCTGTACAAATAAGGATTGTGAGCAAGGTTGGTTTGAGGTGGGTAAGTCATATTCAGCCTTCTGAGCACAAGGAACAGACTATAAATATTGCCTTTGTATACAGTGTGATGTGTTTCACAGCTATTTAGTTTTATTTAACAACTGTCAAATGCTGTTAATGAATTGTGTGATAGTAGCTTCCTTCTTTTCTGGAGAATGCCTAAGCTGATACAAGGCAGGATTTAGCCACCCACAGGATAAATTATTAAGAACCAAAATATTAAAGGCTCCTGTATGATGGAGAGCTGGATGCAGCCACAAGTTCCATGCAAATGTGCCTTAGTGGAATGAAGTCAGATACATGGATCATTTACTAGCTGGAAACCCAGTGACAGAAGCACTTGTTAAACACCTGGCAGATCAACAAGCTGTGGAGATGTTCTGCTTAGGAAAAACTTGAAGATTGGGTCACTAGCCCTCAAAGAATTGTAACTGCAGCAAAACAACAACAAAACCATAAAATGAAATTCTGTCTTTGCTAAAAACCAGAAACATATCTATATTTTACCTTGGTGATGCAGTAAATAGCAATACTCGATGTGCATAAAATGGTCTTCCTTCCACCAGAAATGTAACATCTGACATCTCTTTATTGTTAAGAAAATGGGGATCTAGAATCACAAAAAAAAGGAAACAAAACCCCCCAATAACTTCAATTTGGAAGAGGTCATCAACGTACTGAATATTTTCCTGTTTTGACAAAATAAGACACTAGAATAGAAGGACATTGTTTTTAATGAGTAAAGCCCATAAAAATATTTTGGATAGCCTGAGACAGAAGCCTCTCAGACAACCACATGGAGTTCAGACAAAGGCAATTGAAAGCTTTGACTCATGCTCATTTACACCCTATTAGGCCCTTCTCCCTGTGCCTGGAAGTCTTTGTGTCAAGAGGAAGAGGGTCCTGGAAAATTGCTGGGCTCTTCTCTGAGACCCCATAAACAATGTGGGCTCTGTCAACCTGGCTGGGAGGGCTGTGCCACTGCAGCATCACCTGCAGCCAGCCACGGCAGTTTGAGCTCCAGACAGAAATTTGGCTCCAGCCCAAGGCTTGGACCTCAGCCTAATTAGCAACACAGACAAATCTTTGCAGATTTATGGTCCCACTCTAACGCACCTGATGACCCTGTCGATTTCAGTGGGAGTTTCAGGTCAGGCTAAGTGTGGGACCTTTCCTTTTTCTAGTTCTGCATTTCAAATTCAGGTTTTTCTCTGACTCATGGCCCCCTCAAGCACCTGGCCAGCCACGCAGACTTCTCACAGCTCTCCTTGGAGAGCTGACAAGTAGCTTCAAGTCACGCTCACCTAGGCGGGAGGTCTGCTTACGCTTAATTTCCACCAGCTTTGGAATCGGGTAGGGTCCATAGCAATGAGTGAAAATGACAGAGAGCTGCTGGCTGATCACTTCATTCTAAGCAAAAGAAAACAAATACACGCAAGGTAAGCTTAGTATGCAATGTAAAATCAGTATGCAAAAAACATGGTAGGTTGTTCTCACGAGCTGCCTCTTTTTAAAGTGAAGAATGTGATTGCTGAAGCTTTATTAAAAATCACAGTTTAGGATTATCAGTGTTTGTTAGGAACTGCAGGTCTCATTTACTTGATTGCTATGTCTCCTGTAGGAATCATTTAAAATGAAGAAGTCTTCTCCTTGGATGAGAAGTCTTCTTTTCCTAACAAACTCTTTAGCCCCATTCCCTCCACAAAAAACCAAAGTTCCTTTACAACAGCGATTATTCGCAGACTTACTGTACTGGAAAATGACATTTTGTCACTCTTTAGAACATGGTTATTGATTTACACATTTTGGCAAACGAGAGCTTTAGAAAAACAGATACAGCTGGACAGTCTACATGCATTTCTAAATGCCACAGTCTCAGACAGACCCTTCACTTACAGACTGACTGCAGCATCACACACTGCCACTCATTAAGTCCCAAATGGTTCATTATATATTTTATATATATATAACTCTTTTTATATTCTTATACCACTGGCAGGACATGAACACCACTGAGAAAGCCACCAGACCTTCACAAAACCAGGTCTGGTCCCTGGTCTTACCCATTTCCACCCAAACTCTGGCGCCAAGGCACCCACAAAACGCTTTCTTAAGCACCTTGAGTATTTATATGCCTAAGCTGCACAGGTAGTGAAACAGATTTTTAATGCTTAACTGCCTAAGTCCCAGCTGAAATGAGGATTTAAAGCTTTGGCAAATTTTATCCCACACTTCGCTGATAATCAGAGCAAGTCTAGCCAAGTTCAACAGTACCACACTGCTAATTCATGATGACATCCTTTAACTACCCTGCTGGGTTGGTGACTCCCTTCCACATGAGGAAACTGTGAAGATGAGACATTTAGATATATGAGATGGTCAAGGCCAAGGGAATAAGGAGGTAGGGGATAAAAATCATAAATGGTACTCTAAAAAGATGTTCAGGCTTCAGGAGCAGAAATTGAAGCCTTCCTTGCTCTGAGTGCATTTCAGCAGTGCTCCTTAAATCCCACGAGGGACAAGGAGTGGCAGAGAGGCTGTAATGACTCCCTTACTGAATCTAATCAAATAGGGTGGGAAAGGGTAGAGCTGTTCCCACACAGGCATATGCTGATGTCAAAGGAAATTACACGCACTCGCCAGCAGGCAGGAGTTGGCTCCTATTGCTCCGTCAGACGTAGCACTGAAAGAAATGCTAAGATTAGAGAAATACTGATAGTAAGAGACACCATTTAGCACAGCGCAGGGACCAGTCCTCAGAGAGGGGCTCACTGCTGTGCCTCTGAGACAAGGAGGATGTCTCACCCCAGGAGCATCTCGCTGTTCAGCATCTTCCAGCCAGAGCTCTGCAAAGGGAGTGAATCACAGGGTGAAAAGAAAAGGAAGATTTAAGGCCAGATTTAAAGAAGGAAGTGACTCAGCTGCTGGGAGGGCTGGGAAGGAAAGCTTTAGACAGACAGGGCAGAAAGAGCAATTGCCACCGGCTGTGCCAAAACGCCACGGTAGACTGATCCTGGTTGGATCCAGCAGATGTTAAGAAGTCAGGAAATACAACAGAGGATGGGGATAATTCTGTGGTTAGAGCAGAGGGAAGTTTCGGGAGAGGAGAGGCATAATTGGAGGAGCAACGCTCACTTTTCCTCACACTGAATAAAATGCAGAGTGACTGTACTAAGGAGGATAATAGCTCCCTCTTGAATTTGCCAGGGTGCATAGGTCCTGTCTATGCCACTGAGGCTTTCGTGGGTTCCACGAACTCATCAGTCCCAGCAATAGCTGTGGCTAGGCAACAGCTTTCTGAAAACACACACATACATCAATGAAGACAGGGTGCCTGTGGGAATGTGCAGGTGGGATATCTGGGTATTGACTTCTCAGTGCCTGGTTAGGAGCTGGAGCACCTATGTACCATGGTATACCATGGTATACCACGGCACCATGTACCAGGATGTCCAGGTGCATCAAGACCAGGGAAGAGCAGGCCAAACCCAGTCACACAAGTGGGAGAGGAGGATCCCTGCTTGCAACTCCAAGCAACACGACAAACTGGCCATGCACACAGACAATCCCACAGGAGTCTGCCTATGCAGGTGAGATGCTGCCAGCTGTGTGGGTCACCAACAGGGCATGAACCCTGTGGTGTGCAGATACAAGCCCATTAAAAAGCCACCTTGCCCACATGCTTGTGAAAAAATTGGTGTAAACTAAGCTCAAGATGTGATACATTCACATGAGAGATGCTCAAGGACCCTGACACACAGAACAGTGATGGGACAAAGAGAAAACAGACCTTAGGATTGACACATCAGAGAAAGCAGGGTCATGAGACAGAAAGTGGCTTCAGACCTCCAGCATAGAACACTGATCTCATTTGGCAGAGAGGAGGTTGGAGACCTTTGGCTTCTGTCAATAACAGTAAATACTTACATCACATGCCACCCAAAGGCCAAAAAAAGTGCTCACCAAGAAAGCTGAAGCATGTGTTCATTTAGAGTCATTACTAACACACAGCAGCAAGGGAGGGGAGTGGTAAGCTGTTACAGCAGGCCAAGTTCTTCCCCGCAGCCAAGCTCACAGGTCTGTGGCCCTGGATCTGCTCCCCACAGAGCCTCTGCTGGTTTTACCAATAAACCAGGCAGAAATAGGAAAGAGAAAAGGGATGCTTTGTTTGGAACTGGACGGCTGGGGGAAAAATTGGCTTTTTTAAGCCAAATCCTACTCCTGGAGCAGGCTGACTTGGGATGCCTGTGAAGCAACTGGGAAAGCCCATGACCTGGGGCTCCAGGAAGAAAGGAGGATGTGTCCAGCCTATTCAATCTTGCCCTTTGCACAGTGCCCACACCAAGATGCTCAGAAACTCCCATTTAAGCACTGAGATAGAAAATTCTACCCAGTTTATCCCATCATTCTATCAACCTGAGTGTGAAAGCCCAGCTGTAAGAGCTAACTGCAGCAGTTGTGGGCCGTGATATTAGCACTGGAGGAGAAAACCAAAATTTGTTTTCTTGCTACAGTTTGATGTTGGAAAACATTGTGTCAGGATGTGTGAGGCTGACATTTGGAGCCAGGCCAGCTTCCTTTTAGACACGGGTGTTCCTCTGCAGTCAAAGGGAGACAATGCATATCTTCTCCTGTGGGAGGGGGAAGAAAGCTTGGCATAGGATATAATAAAAATATTTACCTAGCCATGGGCTAGTTTACAGATAGGCAAGAGGGAACAGGGAACAACAGTGACTCTTCTGAGGGAGATGGTGCTTCCAGCAGAGCGCTGGGCAGTGAGCAAGCAACTTTGCTTTGTAGATACAAGCAGTCTCCTGACTTGAAAGCATTCTTCAGCAGAGATCTAAAGGAATTCCCCACCCCTGGTGAATGCACTTGAACTGTGAGGGGAATTCATAAAATCTTTTGAAGCAAAGCTAAAGGCTTTCAAGTTGTTGGACCAGAAGAAGACTAGTTGATTGATCTGAAGAGGTGAAGACCTGGATGGGAAGTGCAGGGATGTTTTTCCTGACTGTTCACCTGATGAAGGTCTGTGGCAGGATTCAGGGAACTCTCCTTCAGACTTCAGCACATACCCTGGGAGAACTTGCTCCATTCCAGCTCACCCGGTTCAACCCAGCCCAGCCATTCTGAGATGTGGTCCTACAAGGTCCTGGACACAGGTGGGAAATACATGGTCAGTTTTCTCCAGTACCTGTGCAAGATATGTGTCCATGCTCCAAACTCTCCTGGGTAAAACTCATGTTGGAGACTGCTCAAACCCCACTGCTCAGTTCTCCCAGTGGTAACAAGTTAGGCTGCTTTTCTTTACCTCTGAAATCCCAAGCAGTACTTTGGGTCTTCTTTCTACTGATGTTACCCTCACCAGCTCAGTTCCATTAGTGCTATTTTAACCAACGTCTGTCAGGCCCTCAAGTTTCTCTACCACAAAGCCCAAACCCAAAAGCTCACCACATCAAGGCAGAAAAGTAAACATACTTACTCTTCTGGCCTCAGTGTCTGCCTGTTAATACACATTTCCCCACCAAGCTGAGAAACCACACTGCTCAGGGGACAGGGGTTCAAGCAAAGGTATCTTTTCTCCCCCTGGTCCTGAGGATGCTGGGGGTGACCCAGTTCTCTGCTAAAAGCAGAGTGGCAGAAGTGCTGTTTCTAGTTCCCCATCTCACACGTGGTCCCCAGCAGCTGTTCCAGAACTGGCAGAGTCTCAGGACATCCCAAACCTATAAACTTCCTTTCAGGACGTGCTGGGATACCTTTGAATTAGTCCTCTATTTATGCTCCCCTTTCCCAGAAAGAGATGATAAAGAGTGAAGGGCTTTTTGCAGACCCCCAGCCCTGAACACCGAAACTCATTTGAGGCTTTCTTTGCCGCCTCAGAACCTTTTCCATCCTTTGCTCAGGTGTTTCTGCTACATTCCTCTTGCATAATTCACTTCAGCCAACTGCCTCAAAACTGATTAGAGGGCCACTCCTAGATGGTTATGCAGGACACACATAAGTAATACTAGTCAACAACTGGAAAGGTAGGGAAGCCCCAGAGGTTGGAGGTACAGTTAGAGGCAGTGAACTGCATAACAAAATTGGTTTTGTTAGTTCTGGGCTCAAGTCTTTCCACTGCAAACACAAACGGAAAAGGATTGATCACAGGTAAGGCACAAATGGACCCTTCTGTTAGCTTCTGGGAAAGCTGCCAAGCTTCCCTTTCAAAAGGCTCTTTATACCACAGCTGTGCATTGTATGTAAAAAGCTCAGCTCCGCGGGCACAGTCTAATCCCTGGGTGAGAGCCCAGAAAAGGGCAGGTGTCACATCCATGGTATTTATTTGTTAATGAAGAAACGGCTCCTGCCTCTGGCAGGGAAACATTTTAGAAGGTAGCAGAGGGTAGAAACAAAATCAAACCTGTGTT